GGGTACCCAGGACCCTCTACACGGGATTGATTCAGTATCGTGAGATCGTAGAGGCGTACATGCCCCAGCGCTGTCTTCGCCAGCTTGGATTTGTCCAAGTTGTCCCTCCTCCACCAGCATGGCCCAGTAAGGCAGTCCGATCTGCGTCGTCGAAGGAGTACGTCGTCTAATGGCCGGAAAGCATGATTGCCACGTGGGAGCAGTTTTCGATGGTTGCCCGCCTATGGACTGCGGAGCTGCAGAGGCCGCCAATTGGGGTGCCTCCCATGTGTGACCACCACTACATGGAATGGTACAACCGGTATTCGCACCCGAGGTTGATCAGAGACCTTCACCATGGCGACGACGCCGATGATGATGATGAGCCACCGCCCACTGCCGTGGATGCGGTATGTCTCACAAAACATTTATTGTTGTGTGTTTTTTTTATTATTATTATATATCATTATTGAATTTCATGTTTTTTTGTTGTGCGTAGTGGATGGGAAAGATGATGCAGCTGGGACAAAGACTCTTTCAGGAAAGGGACAACATGACGACTGCATCAGGCAGAGCTGTTATTAATAATATGGAACGGACCATTGCGTAGTGGGAACGGGCGTCAAAGAGGGATTGCTGATCTTTTGACAGTTTATTTATAGAACATTTTGTACATTATCATAGTAGTTTGTAAAATCTGAAATTATCGTTTAAGTTTGTAATATTTGACATTATCATTTTTGTTTGTAAAATTTGACATTATCTTTTTAGTTTGTAACGCGCAAATACTAACTAGTATGCATGCAAGATATAAATTTAGTCAAAATTAGAATACAAAAAATAAATAAATGGAAAAATAATAGCAATACAAATACAAGGTTACATAGAAAAGGTATATGCATGAAAAACTAAAAGGCAGCTAAGTTGTTCTAATGACGCATCAGGTCATGATACAGCACATCCCAACCCTCTATGCTTGGTCTGCGAATGGTGTACCACTGAGGTATGATCGATGGCACCGGAAAATTGGATGACAGGTCCAATCGGATGAAATGTCTGTATGACGACTCCAGAAATGCAATAGCAAACTCTCTTATCGGTCTGGTGACGGTCGCATGCGAATAGCAAGGGAGAACCGTGCAACATGGATATATAATAAGCTCGACTATGCAAACCAAGCCCGAAATGCATGACTGCACACTTGTAGATGTTTGCAACGACAAAGAGATCAAGTGGCGCGTCGAACCAATGATTTTGACTGCAAGGTCCTCCTCCCCACCGGATACGGTGAAGAGAAAAATCCAAGTCTTGGTCGTACACATGACAATAAAAATCTCGGTTTGCGGCAATTTCATTGTACATCAACTGACGCACTAAAGCGTAGTTGTCTTCACCCATCTGAAACACATCAGCCACGACCCAAAATCCGCAGTTACCATCTGCAACCACATCATTCTACCAGTCCAAGTATTCCATGATGATGTTAGGGATCCTGTCCTTATATGGAAACTGATCAATATCCACTCTTCCTGTTGCACATATCAATAAACACAATTAACAAGTTAGCAGTAAACTAAACAAACATTCTAAAAAGTAAAGTAAAGTACTGCATCGGTTTCGGGCATGTTCACCGACGAAGAAGATCGGCCACGACCAGACGAACGACTAGATAACGATGAACGACCACGGCCACGACCACGAATGTACTCAAACGCACTCCTGTTCCGCCGTGGTTGTCAACCTCTAGGTTGCTCGACCCCTTTAGGTTCCTCGTGATCCAAGCATGACATGTTGAACATGTCATGAAGTACGTGGGTAGCATCACGAATGATTGAAGGGTGACTGGAGGAAACAAGGTCAAACATCGAACGAAACTGCTCCAACTCTTCCTGTTCACGGTCGACCGTCTGTGGAGCAGCATGCTCTACAATAACGAGCGTCCGCCAGAACGGATGAACCTGATCAACATGTAACGACGCCCTATCTTGGGTAATTACGCGGTGAATGGTGCATGCACAAGGTAGTCCATGAGTCACTGATATAGTACATCCACACCGAATATCCACTTCATCACCCAATTCCTTCATCCTGTTGTGCTCGCTCAGAATCAACCCCAAGCCACACTACAAGAAAACAGCTGAATTCAGACGGACTTTTTCCGTCGGAAACAGGGGAAAATCCGTCGGAAAACGTCCTTCCGTCGGAAACTGTCTCTCGGAACAGCCTTTGTAGGAAATTCGACGTTTTCCGAGGGAAATTCCGTCGGAAGCCACTTTTCCGACGGAATACATTCTGTCGAAGCTGGTTTTGACTTTAACCGAAAATCCGTCGCAAAGTTCCGACGGAATTTTCCGTCGGAGTAGAAGTGGATTCCGACGGAAAATTTCGTCGGAAGGGGAATATTCCGACGGAAATTTCCGTCGGAAACGGTATATTCCGACGGAAATTTCTGTCGGAAAATTCAATAAAAAAAAATATAAAAAAAAACGCCGCCACCACCCCCACCACCAGCCCACACCACCAGCCCCCTTACCACCTTAACCCACCTCACCAGACCAACCACCTACCACCTCACATGACCCACCACCTACCACCTTACCTGACCCATCACCTAACCGAAACCCACCTCCCCACCTCACCAAACCCACCTCCCCACCTACCACTTTAACCCCCAACCACCTGCCCCCATCGCCGAAACCACCCAAAACAACACCTCACCACCACCGAAACCCACCTCCCCACCTGCCCCCATCGCCGAAACCACCCAAAACAACACCTCACCACCACTGAAACCCACCTCCCCACCTACCACCTTAACCCACCTCACCGAAACCACCCAAAACAACACCTCACCACCACCGAAACCCACCTCACCACCACCGAAACCCACCTCACCACCCAAAACAACCACCGAAAACACCAAAAAAAAACATAAAAAAAATCCATAATTCACCAACAACATATATTTCCAAAAAATCAGAAAAATCAACAACTTAATTAAAATCAAAATTAAGAAGAAGAAAAAAAAGAGGAACATACCTTAATTTGACAAAAAAAAACGCCGAAATTGGGTTTATAAGGTCAAATTCGACCATGAAAACTCTAAATCTAGAGTTTTCATGGTCGAATTTGACATGAAAACCTTGATTTTCATTGAAACTCTTCAAATCTTCTTGAGTTGCCAATCAAACAAATCGAAACGAAAAAAAAAAGAGGGGAAGAGGAAAGAGAAACAGGGAAGAGGAGAGGAAGGAGAAAGAGGGGAAGAGGAAATAGAAGTGGCGCCGAGGCAAGGAGAACGCCGGAAAGGAAGGAGAAAGAGGGGAAGAGGAAAGAAGAGAGAAGAGAGAAAGAGAAGGGAGGCGTGGAGAGAGAAAGAGAAATAAGGTTTGTTTAGGGTTTTTTTTAGGTTTTAAAGGCTTTGTTTTTTTTTTATTATTTAATTATTTCTGACAGAATATTCCGTCAGATACTTAATTTTCCGACGGAATATTCCGTCGGAAATTTTCGACGGATTTTAGTTCTAACGGAAAATTAATGTTTCGACGGAATATTCCGTCGGAAACTTCCGACGGATTTTATTTCCGTCAGAATATACATTTTCCGACGACGGAATATTGTTTCCGTCAGAAGATGTCCGTCGGAATCTGGCCCTTTTCTTGTAGTGCAGTAATGTGACACACGACCATGGAGAATCTTAAATATGAAATGGCAATACATCATATCATGTCGCCGTCTAGAGTCCTCGAGAGAGTTCTTGATGCTGTTCTTCTGAGTATCAATATCCTTGCTTATTCTCTCAAACAGTGTATCTTCTGAGTATCAATTTCTCTAACACAGATGTTAATATTGTAGCAGGCTTCACTTGAGCATCACTCATTTATTTGACAACTAGGTTTGTAGCAGGACTTAGGCCGCTTAACTGTCAATGACCCACTTGATATACTATCATCTCATGGTTGTGATACCCCCATTTAGAGTAACCCTTCACTTCCCAACTGTCACGACTTTGGTGTTGTCGAACCTTTACTCTGAACCACACCCACAACCTTTCCCCTTTGTATCAAACTGAATCGCTGTACTGAAATTTCGTTCCTCCCTTTTGCGATAACAGTCACATCTCAAAATGCGATCCATTCTACCATCCCGTTGAGATTTATGAGTTGCTACTATTAAACAAAAATCAGATCTAATTGCAACCTGTTTTGCCAATCAATCGCTTGTTGAGCATTTTCGAAGGGACCATCATGTACAAAAATCCCACTATAATCATTTCCGTCTCCACCATAATCCTGCAACAATGACATATTATTTTTAAATACATATAATTATATAAAGATTAAATTAGTACATTTAACACAAAATTAACAAACAAGTAATTTCTAAATTTTTTATTTGTAAATTTAATTTTTATATTTAACACATAATACATTTAATTTCTAAATTTACACATAATTAACACATAATTATGTATAAAAGTATTCATACAAAATTAAAACATAATTTTTTTAAAAAAATTATTAACACATATTTAATTTCAATTTAGTATCAAAGTTAAAAAACCAAAAAAAAAAAAAAACTTTAAATAAAAAAAAATTACGAACTGGACGCCACCACCGTGGCTGTGGCGCCTGGCCGAGACGCCGCCTCCGTGGCTGTGGCGCTCCAGCCAGACGCCACTACCATGATGGCAGCGTCCCGCCCAGGCGCCATCGCCACGGTGGAGGCTTCCCGGCCAAACGCCATAGCCACGGTGGTGGCGGTCAGGCCATACGCCGGCCAGCATCTCGTAATTTTTTATCGCAAAGTACCTCACTTTCCGGTGACAATGACGGCTCTCCGGTGTCCCAAGGCGATCCAGTCCTGCTCCACATTTTTCGTGAGAGAGAATTACGTTTTGGTTAAAAATTAAAAAACGGGCAAAAGCATTAAAGTAAAAATAATTATAGACTTTATGACTTTGTGTAGAGATTTATAGGCGATGTTTATCCCAGAACAAGCTAAGGACAACCAACAACAAAGAAAGGAAAGAAAAATCCTTCAAACTAAGTAGACAAGGTAGGATACCAGCTAGTACTTATAGAAAACGCTCGTGAGAGCGAGTAGTGAGCTCTAGATCGCCGAGGTGAAGACCAGAGGAGCTGGGGTGGCTGCCGGCGAGCTAAATTAGGTGGACGTTTTGGTGGTTGTGGAGTTACTGATGAGAGAGAAATTTAGTAAATATATGACTTAAAGTTGCATTGTTCATAGCGGTTTTAAGGTTAAACCACACCGGTTAACGATTTTACCCAATCTTGCCTTTCGACAAACCACCTATATTTATCGTGACGATAAACTGGGGAATAAAATTCATCTAGCCATTAACGCATGACATCCAGTGAGTAGGAAGACCAAAAAATTGAAGACTCAAAAGTAGGAAGCAATAGCAGACAATAGCAGTTCTTGTGAATTTCTTCTTCTTCATCCAGGTAACTCTTCTCTGCCATCATTCCCTTTGAATTTTATGTTTCACCCCATCAAAATTAATCTAACCTACATTTTGCCCATCAAAATTGTTCTCCTTCAATTATCAAAATTTGCAATTAATTATTTCTTCAATGGTTTCTTCTTCAATTAATTTTAATTAGAGGTATGATTCTGTTTTTTTTTAACATTCCCAGATGAAAAAGGGTAACAAGATTCAATTTTGAGTAGTATGGTTACCAAATTGAGCTTGTCAATATCAATAGGGTTATAGTTTTGGCAATTATGAAACCCTAATTAGTAAATTTATTTGGTTGATAGTGGATATTTTTCTCAGATTTTGGTGGGGTTTGTTGGAAAGAAGGTAAGGGTCATGGCATTGACATGTATTATTGGGATCAAAGTAGAAAGATTGGCTAGTGCTGTTAATGTAAGAGTTGAACTCGAATTTTCGGAGGGTTTTAGAATTCATTTGAATTGTGTAAGATTTTATTTACAATATTGTACGTAGGTAATCAGTTGTTGCTAGGATAATTTTGAATGAGATTAGCTGGTCTCGTACTCTCATGAATTAATTAAAAAAAAAAAATGAAAGCACTATGTACGGGTAGGATAGGATGCATTGACATTGGCTAGTTACGTGTAGTGTTGTCGATTTAGTGAATTTTTTTCTCTAGTAAAGAAGTAGCATTAGATTTCCTGTCAATGACTGGTCATAGTGCAACATTATTGAGATATTGTGGTTTCATTCAGATGATAGTGTTGTGAGCCTGCTTAGTATTTTTGGATGCATCAATATGAGTGAAATGGCTAATAAGTGTGGCAAGTAATTCTATTTATGGATTTGGTGTACTTCATCAATGGAGGTGTTTTTTTGTTTTTATAATGTGTTGCTGCTCAGTACTTTACTAGTTGGCTTCTAGGACGATATACATTCCGATAGTGGCAGAATCGCAAGCTATAGCTAGTGCATACTCTTTAGTCCCACAGAACTTATCCTAGCCGACTTTTAAAAAATGTTAAGGTGCATAATTGATGAGCAGAATTAAATCAACAATGTTTTAGCATTATGGGAAATGGGAGTATGATTGGGCGAATATGTTTTTTTAAAAGAGAAGGGATCAATTAAGGGCTGATGTACACTCTCTTTGGATTGAATCTATGCTTTGTAGATCAATAGAGCTTACCTAGTTATGATCTATATGAGCTGAGTTAATCAAGATGCGATTCCAAACCAGCATTATGTTGACTCAATCACAGAGTTGCTTGGAATGGAGAGGTTAGCACACTTAGGTTACCCCTCCCCAAAGTTAGCCTCATTGACTCTCAAATATAAGTCTTTTCATGCCCTAGATAAATAGAATCAAATTTGCAATATTAGACAGTTGTTGCGTAAAGGGCTAAATCAGTCTGCCTGTCTTATAGATGCTTATAGCTGTGTATTTACATGATAGATACTGAAGAATGAAGAAAACTTAGAAAAGGTTACAAAAAAGGTAGAAGTTTGCAAGGAGTTCTGTTCCTTCTGACTGGGAACAGTCATAAGACTCATAGCACTCACAAGCTAGTCATAGTTTATACACTGATTCAAATTTCTATTGCTGTTGCTGCTGCCTTCAGCGTCAGTACCTTTTAGCTATCTCTCTTTTCCTGGCTACCAGGGTGAGGTTGATGGTGGAAAATAAGCTTTTTGACACAAAGCTCAATGCCCCGCAAGTTGGTCCTGGTATTGAATTGACTTAAACAGTCTGGTGACAATGGTATGTACTATTTGTAGAACCCTACTTTCTGCTTTGAATTTGGAGATTTTTTCATGGGTTGTGTTTTCTAAAGGTATAATAAGAGAGGAGAGGTCATTGGATCAATATCAATTAGCAAGTGACAAACTGAATTTTCTCCTGAATCTACATTTGAGTTGGGGTGTGCATCAAAGCCTTAACTATGAGCTTGTATTTACATTAGCTACTATAGGGCATTAGCTTCAACCGATTTCTGCTTATTTGATTTACATCCAATTAGCATCTAATTGTTGTAGTTTTCTTGGGATTATCTGAAGTGTCTTGTTATGTTGATGCAAATGTTTGAATGGGATACTCAATGTACATACAATTAAGTTCTCCTAAATATCAAGTGGAGGATCTAGACCTTCCAGTCATTCACCATATCTTTGGGATGGTGGTAAAAATAGGATTAAGCAGAATTATGTGGACTGTTATTAAGTGATGTGCAATTGAGTTCAGCATGTTCTAATTGGTGGAGATTTTCAACTTTTTATTCTTTGGTAAAAATCAAACGATAGGAAATGGAGATGAAACTCATTGTTGTTTTGAGCCATAAGAGTTTGTAATTATATGGTTTAGCTTTGGTACCCTTGTTTCTCTTTCTTAATTTTGATGAATCAAAATAATATCATCCAAATTTTGATTCATGTCCATAAAATGTGACTCGACCTATCGCAACTCTCCTCCTTTATTCAGGCTTGAGACCTTCCATGAATGCCACAAAACAATACTCGTAGGCGGAGTTAAAAGTGCTGTATTAGTGTATAGTATAGAAGATATTAAATTTCGTGGAAGATTGCTGAGGCTTCAGACTTCAGTTGGCAGGTGCAAATTGAATTTATACAGTTGAGTTGTTGTCTGGTCCACATAGCCTTGTATTATAAAAAAGGTCTTGAGAGAGTCTACAGTATAATCTTTACGTGAGATTTTGAAATATTAGAATTCTAGAGCTTGCTCCCTGAAGATATGAATAGGTAAATTTTTAAGGACCCAATCTGTACAAAAATGAAGTTCTTACAGTTAGTTTGATACTACATATTTCTGATATTCGTTTTCCAGGATTTTGTTTGATTGTATCTTCCATTTAATCCATTAATGGGCATTGTAGAAGAAATTAAGCTTACTTTTGCTATCTAGGAAACAAAGTCCTTTTCCATACACTGAGCATTACTGCTTAAAAGAGCTTCTGCTTGCCAATCTAATGCATCTAAGATAAGTAATCAAGGGGTTTGTGATAGAACATGCAGCGGCAGTGCCAAGTGGGGTAGTTAGGTACCCCTCATTTGCTTTGCTGCTGAAAATCCTGAGCTGATACTCTGGCTTACAGAATGCCAAGATAGATTTACAGATTATCGTAGTGGTCGTCCTCTAATGCATGGAAAGTTAAAGACACTCCACAAGATGAATGTGCCTGACTGCGGGAATGGAAGTGTGAAGAAACACATTTTAAAGTATTTGAGAGGCAAAATGTTTCGAACTAAAAAGGTACTGAAGCCTTAGAGAATGATATTTGCCCTACAAACCACTTCTTCATCTTGAAATAAATTTTCTTCCCACTCCTTCATCTGTGCCACTCCTCATGGGCGCTCAGTCGCTCACCTTTTAGCTTCTACTGAGCACCTAGTGTGATGTTGGAGGCTGCTTTCCTCTGTGCTCTGGCTGCTTTTGCTGCTCTTTGCTGTCTCTACAACTTAATCCAGCTAAATAAAAATTAGGTTCAGTCTTGGTCTTTTGTGATCTTTTCTCTGCTCTTTTGATCTTTCTTCTGTGCTCTTTGTCTGTGGACAAGTGGTTTGTTATTTTGTAGTAGTAATTCACTAATTTAACTGTGATTTGTGGATCTAGTTTAGTTTAATGTTGTATCCTAGTGTTTGTGTTAGACCATTTACTTCAGAGGATGTGTCTTTGGGCTGTATTTGGGAACCTTAAAACTGATACCAAGTTACCTGCCTTTTTATTTTATTTTATTTTATTATTTTTTTTTATTTCTTCTTCTTCTTCTTCTTTTTCATTTTGGCTTTCCTTCTCTTTAAGCACCCTTATCTTCTAATACCATTTTGTGTCCAATCTACATTTACATGAACTTGTAGGTTGGTCTTTGTAATAGCTATAGGAGTATAGGATTAGAAGGGCTGGAATGCTGGATATATCTTTGGTAAGGATAGCTTGACCATGTAGAAAAAGTCTCCTCATAAAGTGTCTCTTTAACTGTGGAAATCGATGCATATAAGCTTCAATTAGGTCACCTACATTGAAAATTTTAGGTTGATTGGTATCTACAGGACAAAGCAAGCCTGATACTCTGATTATTTTTAAGGAATGGTTTTAAAGAGTCCAAATATGTAATAGAGAATATGTCCTTTTATGGTATAATTACTGGCTTGGATTGGGCACTTAGACCTTGTAACAAATCTGTCTTTGCCCCTTGACTAAGAGAGAAAAACCTGAAGGCCGGATTACAGTAATAATTGGAGGATTGAACTGACTGGTACAGCTGCTTTTTACACCTACGTGATGCCATCTAACCCAAAAGATTAATACATGTTGCAGTGCTGCTGAAGAAAAGAATATAAAGGAATTTTTTTTTTTTTTTTTTTTTTTTTTGAACACTATAAAAGAAATTTGTATATCTTAAATTCCTCCTAGATTTCACTCTTACCTGAGGTTTTCTTGGCATGACATTATGTACAAACTGAGTCTAGTACCTCCTTGGGATTTGCTTTCTGTATTGCAGTCTTTACAGGGACAAAGAAATGGAAGAATTATGTTACATAGGTGAAGAGGGGAAATTGTCTGTCAGATTTATTGGCTTGTCGCTTGTTCTGTTTTTCACCTTGTCAGACGAAGGAAAATGAGAGTTGTATCATCTGTATGAATGTATGATTGCTTTATACAATGATCCCTAGTGCCTATTGAAACTGGTGCAAGGCTAATTTTCTTTGTAGACTGCTACTGTATTAGTCATGTTTCATTATCCATTTTCATAGTGTTTTCTTCCTTCTGTTTAGATAATTTGGTGTAGAGCTGCAAACTGATGTCCCGAAGGCGCAATGCTATTGTAGCTGCAGGATTAGTTGTTTTTGCCACAGCTGGTTTGACATTTCCTTTCTACATGGCGTAAGTTCATTGTTTTTATATGGCTGTAATTATATTAGTTCCTCTGGAAACTGATTGATGGTGTGCTTTCTGTAGATCATCGTCTAAGAAACAGCCTGTCATTGACTCATCGAAACCCTTACCACCTCAGGCAACCTTTCGAGGACCATATATCAACACTGGTTCACGTGACGTTGGACCAGATCATCGTACTTATCCAAAAAAATAATAAAGTTCTATGGTTACCTGACTAGTATTTTCCCCGATAATTGTTGTAACTGGAATTTTAGAATGTGAATACAATAGCCTTATAAACTATTTTGTTACAGTAATATTGAAGTAATAAAGGCATATTGCAATCAATTGCATTTTTGCATGATTGTTTTATTATTACTATTGTTGTTTGCTTTACTTCGAATGAATTTTTTTTTTTTTGTTTAATGAGCCATAAGGGCGGAGTGAGAATCAATCCAAGGATCCCCTAACCGGGAAGGAAGATCTAACCACTTGAGTTATCCCTCACTCTCTTTGTTATTATTATTATTATTATTTTTTTTTTTTTTTATTTTTTTTTTATTTTTTTTTTATTTTTTTTATTTTTTTATTTTTTTTTGAAAGAAGAGTATTCTTTGTTATTATTGTTATTGTTATTTGATTTACTTGATGAAGCCCGTGCGATGAACGGTTTATTTGTATTTTTTCAAATGAAATCAATAGCTTTATACTAAAAACGAAATCAGAAATGACACATGTCATTTACTGGTTAAAAATTTTCCCTCCATTTTTCCTTTCCATTAATTTGGTTTTTTTTTTTTCGCAAAAAAACTTTAAGAAAACTATTTATAACCCATAATATATTTTTTCCCGATTGACAATCATATTCTTTCCATATACAATCAATTGAAATATTTTTACATATCTTTTATGTATTTTATTAAAAAAAATGAACATATTGATTATCAAAATAATACTATTATCTAAAATTCATATAAAATTATCAATATTTTCTTTGTCTCACTTTACTATTTTTGCAATAAACTTGATTTCAATTTAAAAGAGAAAATTCATTTTAGTAACATACATATATGCATGTACTATATTTGTATTAATATATATACAGCATGAGTATTAATCAAAATTTTCAATTTTTTTTTTTTTTTAATATAAAACTCTATAGACCTTAAACTTTTTTTTTTTTTTTTTTACAAAAAAAATAATTGTATACCTTTATTTACGTAAAGTATTATTAAAATAGCATTGCAATTTGTTACAATATAAAAGTTAGTAACAATCGTGGGTTGTACGGGACGTAAGCTAGTATTCTACTATAAATATATTAATCTCCTAAACTTTGTGATATTTGTTTGCTCAATACTTGAATTTTTTATTTTATTTCATAAAGTTTCATATGTGGCTGGCCACATCGTGCGGTCAGGGGTTACTCGGTTGGTCAAGGGTTACTCGATCGATTAGTGATTACTCGGACAGTGAGGGGTTACCCGTTTAGTGTTTTGGTATATCTGAGCTGGCCACACGATATGACCAGCCATACGGAAAATGTGCTGATTTTATTATTATAATTAATATAATTTTAGATCTAAAATAAATTGCAATTTTTTTTCATTGGCTAAAATATAATATTTTTCTATGTGATGCTCTAAAATATCTTGAAAAACTCTCCTTTTATTTAATTTTTGTAAAATTTTATCATAATGGTTCCATTAATCACCTAAATAAATTATTTAATTTTATTCATGATGATTTTTTAAAAAAATAATCTTATGTGTCACTCTGTTAATTTTTTAATTTATTATTATAATCCTACTAAAAAAAACTTGTCTTGCGTGGCATAATCATATTGTAGCGTTTTAAAATATTAATCCTGCATGACGCCTGTTCTTTTTTTTTTTTTTTTTTTTTAATCCTTCGTAGCGCTTTAAAAAAACTTATCTTACGTGGCATAATCCTATTGTAGCGTTTTAAAAATACTAATTCTATGTGCCGCTCTAATATCTTTTTAAAAATTAAAATCCTATGTGGCGCTCTAAAATCTCGGGAAAAAACTCCCCTTTATATATATACTAGATGAAGCCCGTGCGATGCACGGTTTGTTTGTATTTTTTCAAACAAAATATTTTACTAAATATATATTTATCTGATAAAACTTTGTGATATTAGCTTGTTTACTACTTGAATTTTTTATTATAAAATGAATTATTAATTTTGTTTTTCCTATTTAGATAAAAATTCCTAATATAAAAAGATAATATTTTATTTCACAAAGTTTCATATGTAACTGGTCACACCGTGTGGCCATTATTTGGCCAGGGGTTATTCGGTTTGTCAAGGGTTACTTAATCGATTAGGGGTTACTCGCACGATCAAGGTTACTTGGTCAGTGTTTTGGTGTGTCTCAGCCGGCCACACGATATGGCCAGCCACACGGAAAACACGCTAATTTTATTTTTATAATAAATAAAATTTTAGATCTAAAATAAATTGCAATTCTTTTTTTCATTGGCTAAAATATAACATTTTCCTATGTGACGCTCTGATAAATTTTTATTTATTATTATATTCCTATGTAGCGCTTTAAAAAAAACTAATCTTACGTGACATAATCCTATCGTAGCGTTTTAGAAATATTAATCATACATGGAGTATTTTTTATTATAATCCTACGTAGCGCTTTAAAAAAACTAATCTTACGTGGCATAATTGGATTGTAGCGTTTTAAAAATATTAATCATGCGTGGCACTCTAATAATTTTTTAAAAGCTAAAATCTTACGTGGCGCTCTAAAAACTCGGGAAAAAACTCCCCTTTATATATATATTTGTTTTGTGCCCGGGCGATGCCCAGATGGTTGATAAAATTTTAAGATAACATTTATACTGGAATGTTAAATACGGTCAAATAATTCGTTCTGATAATGTAGGACATTTAGACATACGATATCATATGGCTTATATTTATATAATAATACTTTTTGTAGTTTTTGTTGAGTCCTTTAGGTTTTGATTGATAGTTTTGAATGATGACAAACAGCTAAGGGAAACAGGTCTTTGAAAGTGTTCAATACAGTTGGGGAAACCAGCTAAAATAGAACACTGTTTCCCTAGATAAGTTATTACTTATATGAAATATTTGTTGAACTAACTTATCTTTATACAGGGAACAGTTAGATGATGAATGAGCTATGCACTGGTAGGAAACCAGTATAAACTGTTTTCTCAAACTGCTTTTATGAAAGGCAGTTACTTATTTAGGATTGTACATTAACTTTGTTGAATGTGCAGTATCTAAGTTGATTTCTAAGACTGGAAGCTTGAAAGGATTTTCGATCAACTTAAAGGAAGGTCCTTTGGTCAATAATTGAGTTCATTCATGGAAGCTTTCAAGACTTAACGAATGCATGAAGGAAGACTACACTCAAAGAGTTATTTAGGAACTTCATGTAAATGCTCCGTAGTATAACTTATATAATTGAGTATATAAAGTGCTTTTAGTATATTAAATATCGTTATGAAATTTGGTACAAGGTTTGGAACAAATTTCATAACATATTCAGTTCAGGGAACCAGGCCAGGGAACCAGGTTAACTGAACAGATTATTCAAGCTGCCGTTTTTACAAAGATTTTATAAAAAGATATTTTCCGAAAAATATTGATTTAAAATATATCCAAGCAGCTAAGAATAAGATGATATTTTTGGTTAGCTAAAAACTAGGAAGTATTTTATCTTAAATTGATTTTATCTTGTGATCAAATCAATTAAGATAAATACTTACCATAAATCGTATATATCTTATATGCATGATTTAAGGTAACTAGGGTTTAGCTAACTAACCTATAAAAACACATCTTATTCTGAATAATCAGACACGGCTCTCACGCATTTTAATAGAGTTTTATTTTTGAGAGCTAAAAGCACTAATTCAATTATTAAGTGATATACAAGAGCATAATAGTGTTTTAACGTTTTTCTCTATTTGACTTTTGAGAGTTAGATCATTAGAGAGTTCTTGATCTTGTATTAAGTCTTTGACAGAGGGGTTGAAGACTTGGTGAGTGTTTGTGAGTTCAAACACACTAGGAACTTACGAGGGTAAGTTTAGAGCACATTCGGAGTAGAGTGTGGGGTTTACTGGTTCCCGGAGTAGGGAAACAGTAGAGTGTTCTTTGTCTTTATTTTTCGGAGTAGATTAATAAAGGACTTAGGATAGGAGGACGTAGGCCAGAGTTGGCTGAACCTCGTTAAATCTGTGGTGTTCTTTATTGCTTTGTTTTATTCCGCTGCATAAGGGAACCAGCACAACTGGTTCCTTACACATAATCCGAAAAGAAGCAAAAATCGCTAACGATTACTTAACACTCAATTCACCCCCCCCCCCTCTTGAGTGCCCATTGAACCTTCAATTGGTATCAGAGCCTAAGCTTCTCGAAAGAGTAACATCTAGAGGAGTTAAGAATGAGTACTCAAGAATTAAGTGCAATTGGTTATGACAACAAGACACCAAAGTTTAATGGAAATAATTATGCTTGGTGGAAGAACAGGATCCAGAATGTTATCATGGGTATTGATTATGAATGCTGGCTCGTAGTTAAAAATGGTCCTAATATCATTCTCAAGACAGAAGCTGATGGGAAACAGGTTCCCAAGAAGGATAGCGAATTGGTCACTGCTGATTACAAGTTGCTGGAGAAAAATGCTAAGGCAATGTCAATTCTACAACAAGCAATAGGTGAGACCGAAACAAATCGTATCTCTGGTTGCAGTAGTGCTAAGGAGATATGGGACACCCTTGAACTTGCGTTTGAGGGAACCAGTGAGGTAAAACGATCTAAAATTGATTTAATCATGTCTAAATACGAATTGTTTGCCATGAATAAAAATGAAAAAATCAATGATTGCTTTCGTAGGTTTATGACTATTGTTAATGATCTTAGATCACTTGGTAAAAAATTTTCTGATGAGGATCTTGTGAGAAAAATTTTGCGTAGTTTAACAGATACATGGACAGCTAAGGTAACAGCAGTATATGAAGCAAAGGATCTGTCAACCTTGTCTTTGGAACAGCTTATTGGTTCCCTTATGACTCATGAGATGCTGATTGACTCTAAGTCTGACAAGGAACCAGCCAGAGGCATGGCACTGAAGGGAACAGTAGAAGAAGAAGAAGATGAGATCAGCATGATTGCAAAAAGATTTGAAAGATCTCTTCGTGATCAAAAGAGGAATTTCAAAGGTAAGAATTTCAAAAATACAAAAAAATCTAACTCTTCCTCACCTTCAGGTTGCTTCAAGTGTGGTGAGAAAGGACACATCATTCGTGATTGTCCAAAATGGAAGGACAAGCAATCTCAATCTGGAGATAAGAGGGCTTTCAAGA